GGGGCAGAATTCGAAGGGCACAACATATTGCCAGTTTTGCTTCATTAAACGCACGGCAATATAAATTGTTGTACTACTTACAAATTCCAAGGCCTGACATATCCTGTTTCCTTCCTTCCTTCCTTCCCGCAAACTCCAGGATGAAATAGACACAGTATCAGACCTGCAGAACCTTGGCCAGACCGCTCTAGTGTCTCTTCTGGTCAACATCACGTATGGAGACTACCTGCTGCTACAACACCAGGACCTGGGAATGCAAGTGGACATTATCTCTCAGATTGCAGGTAGGTGTGGTCTGGGCATGTAGTCATTACAATTAGTTGTTTTTAAAGTTTGAAAAAGCTTTAAAGAATATTACGGCACTTAGAATAGGAATAAGTCATATATGTTTCGAAGATTAGATGTGTAACCAGATATAATCAAACATCACAAAGAATAAGGACAGATAACGACGATATGTATTTGATAGAAAGAATAGCAACTCACACCAGAGCACCCATTATCCAGTAACTCTAAGTCATTAAAATAAAGAATCAGTATATTGCAGTTATCTGGGGTTGCTTGTTCTTGAGTTAATATTCTATGGAAATTCAGACTCTAAGTGACAAAAAAATGCAAGGAAATTGAGGTCCTTTGTATATAATATACACATCTTTAAATGCTAAAATATTTATTTTTCTCCCTCCAAAAATGCCATCTTGACAGTTGAACAACATGCCGACGTTTCATGCTTCTGTTTATCTCTTCTTTCTTTCTCTTGTAGGACATTTAAACATAAGCAGTAGCAGGATCAAGAACGTGAATGTGACCTATGAGTCTGGCTCAATCAACGGCAGTAATTTCCACGTGAGCACGCTGACAGCTGACCAGTACACTTCTCTCTTCCCCTCCGTAGAAGAGATTAGGTCCAAAAACCTCAAGGTTATCCCCGTGGAGTCATCCGGCCTGTCGGGATCAGTTTCCGGGGAAGATAACGAGACCAGCACTAGCAATAGCCGCCTAGTGAACACCCTGGGGTTTGGTGGAAATTCAGCAGACTGGTCGGAGGACTGCAACAGGGAGACAGCTCTATCAAAGGACACGGTTGTGTCGATGATGAGAAGGAAACGATTCGTTACGGAGACTGCAGTTTGGACGGACGAACAGTTTTTAAAGGGCGATGAACAACACGAAAATGTAGGTACCTCTCGAATAACGAGAGATGCCCTGAGTTTATCGGAGTCTGTTGGCGAAATGCTGGAGATCATTTCTAAAAAGGAAACTGACGACAAGGAAGAAAAGACGAATACAAAGTCTTTCAAGCCAAAAATCCAGAAACGTTTTTCTAATGGTGAGGCTGAGACGGTTTCAATAGCCTCCAACACACAGTCTGCAACTCCTAGCACTGACCCACCGCAGATCAGTAACCACGACACGAATCCACCTAGATCCACAAGGAAAACCTACGCGTCCACGGATAACAATTTTTTGTCGTATGCATTTCTGAATGACCAGGAGCTGCATGACCTTTTATCAAACGAGAACACGGGGACTGCAGATCCAACAGGCGACGCAAAAGGCGCTTGGTTGATCTTCAACAACCCCCAAACCCACTCAACAGATAATGGAACAGCCGAAGAAACTATGTCTAACTCCAGGTTTCTGCTCCTGAAATTAAACAATTCTCAGGCAAGTGTTGATGAAAGCAGAATGTTTCTGTCCAAACCCTCTCCCCTCCCAGATGACAAAAAGGTTATTTTGGAGAGTAAAGGAACCCTGGAGGGTGGGGCAAAAGTCCATATCCAGTTCAAGAAACCAAACCCTAAGGACTCTGCTTCGTCAAAGGACAAACATGAATTTGGCAGGCTCATTAAAACACCATACGAAACTTTTATGGAATACCATCTGGATACTCAAAATCTGACAACATCCATCTATGTGTCTGATCCTGTGAACCCAAAAGAAGAAAGGATCATCCTTGAGACCAAGTGTCTAAAATCAGTGCTCAAACAAGACATGGTAATGCAAATTTCCTTCGTTCTTTTACCGCCCCAGGATGAAGGGTCAGACGAGGACGGGGCCCGCAGAGTCGTGCAGAAAATCTACAACCTCATCGTGGAGAACCAATTCTCTCTGAAGCTAAACGGCAACACGCTTGATGTGGTTCACGCCAACGATAAAACGAAAACAGAAGTGGACAAAAAACCGTTCTGTCCTCGTGGGGTGGAGATAATGGTTTTTGACGAGGAGTTTCAGCTCTTAACGGTGGATGGGGTGAGAATGATGTACGTGAACAACACCAACTCGTACTTTGGTGTTGGGCGCTTCGACGTCTTCTTCATGGTCAGCGGGAATGACGGTAACGACGGCACAGAGGTTCTGGAAATGATCAAGTACGCATTTGTTTGCGTGATGCCTCGTATTCTGAAAACAGACTGTACAAGGATTGACTTGGCAGAAAACGAGTATCAGGTCCTCGGAGATAACAAAACTATAACCTTTGAAGGAAATCAGTACGACGTCTTCTCCTACGTTGTGAAGAACGAAACCACGGGAAGCATCCAGATATGTGTACCCTCATCGTTTCACAACAAAAAGGAGAAAGCAGCACCACGATTTGTGGCCAAGGATGAATCATGTGGTAAGGAATTTGACGGCGCGGTCAAAGCAGAAGGCTACATTACTCAGGTTCTGGGAAGAGTGTCCATCTTTGCTCTAGCCTGCGTCCTTGTCACTTACCTTATCTTCTCGAAGCTTCGAAACCTGCCCGGAGTAAACACAATGAATCTGACGCTGGCTCTCTTCTTGGCAGAGATAATCTTCGTTGAGGGGATGACCGTGGACATCCCCTGGTTGTGTACCACAGTTGCCATCTGCGTGCACTACACCTTCCTAGCCGCTCACTTCTGGATGAATGTGATGAGTTTTGACGTCTACAGAACCTTCGTCACGAGCACGCCACTGAGGCAGATGAGAGAGAAGAGCAAGTATTTGCCGCGCTACGCCCTGTACGCATGGGGGGTACCACTGATTATTGTTGCTTTCTGCGTGTTTGTTGAGTTCTCTTCTCTCTTCGACTTCCAGATTGGTTATGGGCCTGTCTTGATCGGAGCCAACGACGTTCTCGACAACGTAACGTACTTTAATTATACAGACGGAACCCAACAGCTGGATGAGGGGAAGGGCTCAGAGGATGAGGCACGCGACGAGGGCAACAGCCAAGGCAACAGCAATAGCAACAGCAGCAACTCAGCAGCGAATGAGACCCGATACTACTACACATCGGCACACACGTACGGCCAGTCGGCAGCCTGTTGGATCCACAACCCCCTGGCTGCTCTCACGGCATTCGGCGCTCTCATCCTTCTCATTTTCCTCGTCAACTGCGTCTTCTTCATACGGACAATCATCAGCATCTCACGCACTGCCAAACTCGCCAAACAGAGTCTCGGTCAGAGACACTCCAACAGCTCTATTCAGAAGATGACCGGTCGCTCTGATGTCATGCTTTATGTCCGAATGTCCACGGTGATGGGGTTCACTTGGTTTTTCGGGCTCAGTTCGGCAATTATGAGCTCGTTCCTCACCAAGCCCTACTCCCGTAGCGAGTGCATTGTCAGCCACGTCCAGAGTTTCTTGTTCAACATTTTTAACGTGTCTCAGGGGATTTTCATCTTTGTGGCCTTTGTGTGCAACCGACGTGTGTTCGCCCTCTACGTCAGGCTGCTCATCCGGATGAAGAAGTACATCCTGAGACAGAGTCCAAAATCAAAGCTCTTCTCCCTGAGCTCAACTCTTAGCTCGTCCCAAAGCACTGGGATCTCTTACACTCAGAGCTCCTCGCGATGAGCCTACGAGAAATAACAGGAGAGAGAGAGAGAGAGAGAGAGAGAGAGAGAGAGAGAGAGAGAGAGAGAGAGAGAGAGAGAGAGAGCAGAGACCGACAGAATGATAGCGATAAACAAAGATAATACAGATAAGGACGCGGAAGCGTCGTCGGTCGCGGTGTTTTACACTCAGATGTATATTGAAGACGTAAATACCTCCGCGGGAGCCGCTTATTATGTACATGTTGTCTCCAGCAGAAGCTACTGTGTTTACAGCTAATGCACGATTGTTTGCGCATTGCTGAGCCCTCGTTGGCCACAGGCGATCTGTGCACTCGATGCAGGTAGCAGAGAGATAAGTCAGTGGCCCACGAGCCACGTCTGACACCGGTGCATGAGTAAGTATGTACGCAAGACGGAGACAAGTGGTTAGCAGATTGGAGAAAAAGGGGGCAAGGGTACGGAATAAGTCAAGATATGAAAGTAAAGGAGATAATCATTATTGCGCTTTATCTGCA